GGGTTATGCGGGATCTTCCCGGACCGGGCCACGAACCCGCGTCCCCTGCGTCGGCAGGCGGACTCTCAACCACTGCGCCACCGGGGAAGCCCACCAGTTTTTGTTACTAAGCCCACCTGTGCTTTTACCATCACATTCACGCCACCCAGAATAAACCCAGGAGAAAAATGCCTGTCCACCAGGGGTTTTCACCGCAAAACCGAAGCATTGAAAGACAAAGCTATAAAATATCTTTAAGAATTTGTTAAATTTTCTTGTCTGACTCATTTTCAAAATTGGAGTGAAATTCTCTTCCTCTCCTCTCTTCCATGTTTATTCTAATCTTTTGACCAATAAATATTTATTTCTTTACTAATTTGTTTCTGTTTTATGCGGTTCTCTTTTAATCTTTTTTCTTGTCTCCTGTGGTGCTGGCTGTATGGTAGATATCCAATCAATATTAAAGATATACCTTGCCTATAAGCTTCTATTTCTTTTTTCAGAGTGACAGTACAGCTGTAGTTCAGAGTTAGGATCCTGGTTGTACCATTTCTGAATTATACAGCCCTGTGAAATTACCCAACTTTCTAATAAAATGGGGCTTATAGTATCTATCCCAAAGGGTTGCTATAAGGAACAAGCAATTAATAATGTAATGTGCTTAGAAATGTGCCTAGTATGCAGTCAGTACTTAGTATATATTAGCCATCATCATTGTAATCACCATCATCACCATAATCACCCCATCACCATCACCGTCACCATCATCACCATCACCATCATCACCCCCATCACCATCACCGTCATCACCAACACCATCATCACCATCATCACTAACACCATCATCACCATCATCACCATAACCATTATCACCCCCATCACCGTCACCATCACCGTCATCACCAACACCATCATCACCATCATCACCTCCACCATCATTATATCCCTGGGCTAAGTGCCAGGGATTCAAAGATGAATCAGTCTTTTTGCCCACCTGAGGCTTATTATCTAGTGGGGAATTGATGAGAAAAAATGTTTAAGAAGGGCTTCCCTGGTGGCGCAGTGGTTGAGAGTCCGCCTGCCGATGCAGGGGACGCGGGGTCGTGCCCCGGTCCGGGAAGATCCCACGTGCCGCGGAGCGGCTGGGCCCGTGAGCCATGGCCGCTGAGCCTGCGCGTCCGGAGCCTGTGCTCCGCAATGGGAGAGGCCACAACCGTGAGAGAGGCCCGGGGACCGCAAAAAAAAAAAAAAAAAAAAAAAAGAAAGAAAGAAAGAAAGAAAAAAAATGTTGCAAGCTATACTGGGGTGGGAGTATGTGCTGATTGCTGTGCAAGTATAGAGGAGGGAAACTAAAGGACATTTTCCTGCCCTTTCACTTAAAAGAGAAAGTTCCAAACTCCAGGGCTCTAATCTCTAATTTTGGTTTTCTGCAGATTTACTAAACATGCCTCTGTGTTTGAAGGTCCTTATCTGAAAAATGGAAAGGCTCTGACCTATGGGACTGCCCTTTGGATTGTTTAGAAGCACATTTATAATTTGTCTTGATATCTATGACCTGCACTTCCATGGTGTTTCATGCTTGCAAGTCACCCTGAGGCAAATTTTACTCTCTTTCCAAAGAAAAAAAGACTCTGATTCTTCGGCCATCCATACAATTTCATTAACTTATAACGTATAACTTCAGAACTTGAGATAATTTGGGTGGATTTATGTGGTATTTAAAAAGGGTTTGCTTAGCTAATTCAGAGAAACCAGGACTGTGAGAAGAATGTTTATCTCCTTAGAAAGGGGCCATCTGTTCTAAGCAATGCAGAAGCCTCTCTTATAAAAGCTGACTTTACTCTCCTACTTTCTGGTTTACAAAACCCACTCACATATAGCCTCTCGTTCTTATTTGATTTATGTGTGAACTATATCAAGACGATACAAACAGAGGTCAAGGGTGACAAACGTACTACAATATCCTTTATCTATCCACGAAGATGGGCCTTCTACAAACAATGCCAGAGTTTTACAAAATTTCTTTGAAAATAGTGAGGTCATTTGCTTTCAAATACTCTAGTCTGTACAGGGCTTCATTAATTCAGACTGTTCTGCCCTCTAAATTACTATTTATTTTGGTATTTTTTTCTGTGTCTGAATTGTGTAATATAATGGTTCTCAATACGGGGTGAGTTTGCCCACCGGAGACATTTAACAATTTCTGGAGGCATTTTTTTTGGCTATTACACCTGGGTGGGGGAGTACTGTGGGCTTCGGGTGGGCAGAGGCCAGAGATGTTGCTAAACATCCTATAATCCTCGTGACATTCCCCATAACAAAGAATTCTCCAGCCCCAAGTGTCAGAAGTGCTGAGGTCGAGAGAGCCTGATGTGATGTGTAACTCACATTACTCATTACTCAATCGTGTGCCCACAGGCTAAGGAGCAGGTGTGCTCACACCCTGGCCTGAAGGAAACGGCACCAGACAAAGGCAAAAGGACGGCACCTCCCACAGGTAACCTTTCTATAAGACTAGGTATTTGTGGGTCAAGCTCTGTTATACAGGTCGCGAGGTTGTTCTTGTTCAGAGGAAGTTACATGTTCGTGATGCCCTGTGTCGGGTGAAGTGTTTGATTGGCTTTCGGTCCTACTAGTTACAAACTAGAAATTCTTTGGGGGCCCAGCTGTCAGTCCACTGGTCACGTTTTCTCCTACTTTGCTTCCCCAAAGCTTTTATCTGCCAGTAAAGAGAAGCCTGTATAGAGATGCCATTCTGTGAAGCCAAAATTACACCAATCACATACGTCCTCCATTAAAACACTGTGTCCTATGGTGGCTTTTAGAGAGATCCTCCCGGAAGAACAGTCTGAGAAAGAAACGTTTAATAAAAGCTCAACACGAAATAGGCTTAAAAGACCCCTGCCTCTAGTTCAGAGAAGTTTCACCGCATTTCATACAGAAAGACCACAGGAAATAGAAGATTTTGCTCTAAGAAATTCCACAGAGCCAAGAGCAAGTGAAGACGGGAGAGACATTTCATGCCCAGAGAGACTGAGCTGACAAGAAAATAGTAGCTCTGGGGATGATAAGCAAGGCTCTGCAGATAAAAATGAATGGCCAGTGTTCAAAGAAGAGAAAAATGGGCTTCGTTCTAAGGAAAAGCCTGGTGACCGAGAAGCTGAGGAAAAAGGAGAATCCGAAATTCCAGATGAGACAGTGCTGGACAGGAGCTCAAATAAAGAGCCGTGTGTTTATAGAACTAACAGTGGTCAATCCTACGAAAGGTAGGGTTTAAAGCATTTGCTTCCACAGCTGACGTTTTCTGCAGATCTATGTGCCGTTGCAATTTAAGTCCATATCGAAGGATAACTGAAGTGACTCTGCTTTAAAGCAGTGGTTTAGAAGCCACTTTCCCAGCTGTGTGGATTTTTCTTGGTCACGTTTTCTTGCCGTTATTTTTTCTTCTTGCCTGTGACACTTTCAGGCATTTTATTGTTTTCTAAGTCTTCTACCAAATGACAGATGGATATAATGATTAGTAGTAAAATCACATCCAGTATTTTTAAAATATCAAGTAAAAGTTTCCTGTTTTTAGCAGTATAGAGCACATCCTTCCTAAGATCGATAACTGAACAATGATCAGATTGACCAGATGTATAAATTGGCTGCTTCCCAAATATTCTGAGGATTGAGTACACAGTAGGTTATTGAATGATTCTTCCTCAACCGTGACGTTTCACATATAAATTCAGGCAATTATATAGCCAACTAAAATGAATTAATCTACGTCATGATGAGCCGCAGAACAAAGAGCATCCCAATTCAAACATCTGTGGTATTTTTTAGGGATTTAAGACATAATTCTTGTTTCTTTTTTTCTCTTTTGGCCGCCCCGCGCAGCTTGTGGAATTTTAGTTCCCTGACCAGGGATTGACCCTGGTCAATCCCTCAGCAGTGAGGCCCTCAGCAGTGAGAGCACGAAGTCCTAACAACTGGAGCGCCAGGGAATTCCCCTTATTTCATTCTTAACTAATGTATTTTGGAAACTAATTGTAGAGAAGTCTAATTTTCCAAGAATTAAATGTAACACTAATGATTACTAAGAAAGTCCATCACTGCAGAGATGTTTTTAGTAAGGTCTGGAGCTGTTGGGAAACTTAAATTAGGTCAATTCTTTCACCAGTAAAGGCTGACTCCCACTGCTGTTACTACTCAGAGACCACTGTTCCTTTTATTTTGCTTTAACGTGGTCACTTCTATCTTCTTTAAGGAAAGGAAGTGGAAAACGAAGATCAGATTAGTTAGGCAGAGTCATGAAATGACTGCCTTTGTAAAGGGTCAGTGGACTAACTTGGGGTCACTCTGAGGTTGTTAGGGAGAGTCTCCGGGATGCTGGTCATCTCCGCCTGTAACCGTGCTGCTTGGGATGATGGGGATGCATCCTGCTTCATCTCACCCCAAACACTGACATCGCCAACTCCCCATCACGAAGCTTACATCCCTTCAACAAAGCATCAGCTTGAGGACGCTTTAGTGCTCAGAAATTTGGCCATCTGAAAGTTTTCTCCCGGAAACTTTGAGAGCTGTGGCTGGATTTTATATTCCAGGTAAAATAATGGCAGCATAAAAACCATAAAAGCCGCTTTCACACCACGAACCACAGGAAAGTCAGCGACAGGACCTGTTTTGCAGAACTCTCATCCAACAGAGCCCTCGGGCGGCAGTAAGCGGACAGGGGCAGAGGTGGGCTTGGTCCAGGAGAAGAACAAGAAGAGCAGAATAGATGCGGCAGGTGCAGGTGACAGATGCACACGGAGGACACAGGAAGCCGGAGGCGCCGGGGGGACCAACAAGACAAACTCCTGGGGTCCCCTGGAGCAAAGACCCCCAGGCAGCAAGATCTGGTGACCCCCCTGGGTAGGAAACGGCTTTTGTTCCAGCCCTTTAAAGCTCCTTAACCTTTCCAGCACACATTTCCGACTAAATTTCACTTAGCCTAACAGCCTGAAGGAGACGTCATGCCACACTGATGCCATTTGTGTTCATAACTCAATCACTTTTGGGGTTTTTTTTGGTCTGAAGAGACGAATGCCACCAAGAGAATTCTTTCATACCTTCACTTTTCAGCACATTTATGGTGTGAAGGGAGAACGTCCCCATCAAATCAACTGCCCAGAGATTTATATTATCTGAATCTTAAAAAATATGAACACTTGGCAAAGTACCTAGCTCAAGATAAGTGCTCAAGAATTACATTTTGAATAAATGTAAATTTTTGAAAGCAAAGTTGTTATCTACTCACTTCCCTTTGTAACCTTTGTATGCACGCAGTAGATGTTTAAGTAATGAATAAATGGGGAAATGGATAGGTTCACGGCAAGTAGCCACGGAAAAGTAAAAAGGATACTGGAAGAATATTAGTGAGTGACGATGTATTTTAGAACTGAGGTGGACTGGAGGTTAGATGCTTAGGCTGGAAGGTAGAAGGCGGGAGAAATTTGAGAGCTGCACAATATATACTTTGCCAGTTTTACTGGGTGTTTTATTTCAGCCAGGAAAAATGAAAGTATTACCTGTTTGGACTGTACGGGGCTTGGAGATTTGCAGTTGTTTGACGTTTCTGAAAGCTGCCCTGAGGGAGACAGGTGCCACGGTGCAGAGGCCCTGACACCCTTTCTCAAAGGTGTTGCGCGTCACCTTCATGAGCCATACATCCTAACACGAAATGAAAACTTACATTCCCTGGATCATTAGAAATCAAACAGGTGGCCCACTGTGTTTTATTATTAAATGAGCACATTTGCACTCAGGCTCAGGCTTGGCCCTTGGGCCGCTTCTCACGCAGCCCTTCTCTCACCTCCAGACGAGGCCCGGGCACCGCCTGCGCCGTTTGATCACCGCATCGTGACAGCCAAGCAGGCCGCGGTCAATGGCTTCTACACCGTGAGCAGAACTGAAATCCTAGGAGGGTGAGTAATGCTCGCAGTTTCAACGCTCGCGACAAAAGAAGAAAGAAGAGCGCTTTCAAAGAGACAGGTCCTTTTCTGCTGTTTTAATTCTTATAAGTGTTTTTATTTTTATTATTTATTTTTTAATTTTTATTATTTTAGTTTTCTTACTGCTTCTTCATGTTTTTAAATTTTTATTTTATACTGGAGTATAGTTAATTGATAACGTTGTGTTAGTTTCAGGCATACAGCATAGTGATTCAGTTATACATATACATGTATCTATTCTTTTTCAGATCCTTTTCCATTATAGGTTATTACAGAATATTGAGTAGAGTTCCCTGTGCTATACAGTGGGTCCTTGTTGTTTATCTATTTTATATATAGTAGCGTGTACATGTTAATCCCAAACTCCTAATTTAGCCTGCCCCCCGCCCCGCCTTTCCCCTTTGGTAACCGTAAGTTTGTTTTCTATGTCTGTGGGTCTGTTTCTGTTTTGTAAATAAGTTCGTTTGTATCATTTTTTTAGATTCCACATATAAATGATATCATATGATAATTTGTCTTTGTCTGACTTGCTGCACTTAGTACGACAATCTCTAGGTCCACCCATGTTGCCGCAAATGACATTATTTCATTCTTCTTTATGGCTGAGTAGTATTCCGTCGTGTATATATGTACCACATCTTCCTCATTCATCTGTCGATGGACATTTAGGTTGCTTCCATGTCTTGGCTATTGTAAATAGAGCTGCTATGAACAAAGAGAAGGATCTTGAGAATTTCATAAGTGTTTGCCGGTCTCAACCAGAGAACCGGAAACATCATAAGCGAACATTTTAAGAGATGAGAGATGTTAACCATTTCCGAAAATCATCACTGATGCCACAGAGGTTGATGTGGTGACTACCCTCCACATTTAACATCCGCTTCACTTCCTGTGCTGTCGTGTCTGCAGTGAGTCCTCAGAAGGTTTAGAAGCTTGAAAACCGAGGAACGGAATGTAGAAATGAGCGAACACTGTATTTCTCATGGCACATGTTTGTCATTGTTGGTTTCCGTTTATGCTGTTACCGTATGGATTACTATTACTCTGTATTTCAGTCGGTTACTTGCCTCCCAGAAGGACTTATCGGCAGGACATCCACGTCTCCCTGAAGAAGGAAGAGTCCAGTCTATCGGGGGCGGGTCGGTCGCTGGGGGGCGTTCCGTCTTCTTTTACCTCAGTCACAATAATCCCCCTGCGAGACCTTGGAACTTACGGCTTAAATTATTCAGTTGACTCCCATCAGCGTATCTGTGTAAAATAGGAAGAGGAAAGCAGAACATTTATACGAATATATAGAAATTTACTTACCAACACAGGGAAAACACGCGTGGCTACTACAGAGCGCGCTCCTGCCTATGGTCCTGGGGGTGAGGTTGATTTTGCAAAGCCCCTCGCCCCCTTCCAATCCCATTTACCTTTTGCCCTTTGTCACGTGGACGCAAGTGAACTTTCTCCTCCTCCGCTGGCCGCGGCTGATCCACTGTGGCGAAGGCCCCTCAAGCCTGTGAGGATGGGCTGAGGGGCAAAGGGATGCTTGGGTGGCAAGCCAGCGCCTGTTTCTCTAAAGGAGAGAAGTTATTTGCAGAAGCGGCTTTGAAACAACCACCAGGGTTTGCACGTGCTTCTGATCGAGGTTCGTCAGTGACTCTTAGAGTTTCCTTCCCGCCCCTTTGGGCAGCGTTGACTCTTCTTTGTCATCCTGCAGGCAGGACCAGCTGCCCATCACCCCCTGTTCTGGGCTCAGTAAGTAAGTTAGAGGAACACAGTCAGACGCGTATGTTTGCCTCAAAACTCAAAGAGCTCATCAGCAGGTGGACCTCCTTCTCAGTAGTAGGAGAGTCAAGATGCAGCAAATTATCCTGCACTTTGGGCAGAGCTATTGCACCATGGCAAGGATCCCCGGACCCTGCATGTGGTGTCAGGCCCCTGAATTTTCCTGGGGTTCATCTCCCCCGTGGCCTGTAGGGGGATTAGAGTCCCTGCTCACCCAGTTCAGTTAGCATGACGTTATCAGCCTGGTGGACCAGCAGGGACCCTGTGAGGTCACCTCATCACTCAAAGCTTTGCAGAATAAACCAGGCCAGAGAGACAGATGGGGTGGCCCTAAAGCAAAACAGCGACGAGGCACCACTGCTGGGCCAGGCCGTTCTGGGGGCCGTTGCTAATTAAGAAACAAGCCTTTTCGTAATGAACAGCCACATCTGAAGCGCCTGGGGCTGTAGGTTCATGAGCTCCAGGAAAGAGACCACGCCTGGGCCGGTGGGCGGGATCGAAGTCATGCTTGGCTGTGCTTACGGACCCACCTGCTTCTGCTCAGGGAGCGTGGCTGAGTCGGGGGGATGCGGTGCCCTCGCCTCCACTCCCACCCCTTCACTGTTGCAGCAGCCCTCTCCTCTGCTGTGGGCTTCTGGCCACGACGTTGGGGAGCTCTCTTTCCGCTCCTGCACGCGGCCGGTGCGACACAGGCAGGCACGTGGGTTCCAGTTATTTCACTCAATCAGGCATCGCGGCAAAAGCGAAGTCAAATTTACAGATAGCTCTTGAGTGCCTTTTGGTGTGTGAGGATGTTTGAAAGAAGCTGTGTCTTAAGAAGTATATTTAGGGCTTCCCTGCTGATGCAGTGGTTAAGAATCCACCTGCCAAGGCAGGGGACACGGGTTCGAGCCCTGGTCCGGGAAGACCCACATGCTGTGGAGCAACGAAGCCCGTGCGCCACAACTACCGAGCCTGAGCTCTAGAGCCCACGAGCCACAACTACCGAGCCCACGCGCCTAGAGCCCGTGCTCCGCAACGAGAGAAGCCACCACAGTGAGAAGCCTGCTCGCCACAACTAGAGAAAGCCCGCACGCAGCAACGAAGACCCAATAGGTCCAAAATTAAATAAAATAAAAATAAATAAATTTATTTTAAAAAAGAAGTGTATTTAAATTTATATCCAAGCTAAACTGTCAAAAAATCTCACAGGTGATTATGTAATATGTATTTTGATTAAATGTGTCTATATGCAATTTTGTTATTACTTCTTACTTATTTATATGCAGTTTCCAAAAGTAATCTGATACGCCTGACCTACAGACTGTATCACTCATATGCTTACGAAGCCTAGCTTGTTACATTCACATATATTCGGAAAGATTCTATTTTTTCTGTGACGGAAGTTCTCAAATTTTAGGGTGCATATGAACCACCCAAGGGGTGTCATGAAAGTGCAGCTTCTGGGGCCTCCCCCCGCCTTCCTGTATCAGTAGGGCTGGGCTAGGGCTGGGACATCGCCCCCCAGGGAATTCTGATGCCAGTGGCCTGTATCAGAACTTGACGTGTTCTAGGAGATATTTTTTAATTAATTAATTAATTAATTTTTCTCTGCGTTGGGTCTTCGTTGCTGTGCGCAGGCTTTCTCTAGTTGCAGTGTGTGGGCTTCTCATTGCGGTGGCTTCACTTGTTGCGGAGCATGAGCTCTAGGCTCGTGGGCTTCAGTAGTTGTGGCTCGCGGGCTCTAGAGCGCAGGCTCAGTATCATGGCGCATGGGCTTATTGCTCCATGGCATGTGGGATCCTCCCAGACCAGAGCTCGAACCCGTCTCCGCTGCATTGGCAAGTGGATTCTTTTTTTTTTTTTTTTTTTTTTTTTTG